ATCATGTTTCTACATAATTAATCACTGTTGGTTCTATGTTACGATCGAAGTAATAATTTAAAAATAACGTAATACTACAACGCTAGCAGGCTTCCCCTTAAACTCGGAAAAGTAATCAGTCCCTAATTCCACTGTCCGCCCTCCTGCGTCATCAATTTTTGATTAGATCATGTGATTGTTTTAGAAGAATTACTATTAGACATAGTCGTATGTTGAAAAAAAAATATAGCCTAAGAAACCATTTTTTAAATTTCTCCTATGGAAATCAATGATTTTCAAAAAAAAAATCGAGAAGTTGTTTTCACTTCGATTTTCGAAAATCGAGTTTTCATCATATCTCGACGTTTCGAGGTCCTAGGAAGCTCGAGGTACGAATATATGAGGTGTGTATGTGTTTGAAAATCTCAAAAATTCGTGATTTTCTAATTTTGAAAAAAAAAAAATTTTTTGGAATTACTTCTATAAGTTTCGATCAATTCTATGATCAAATAAGCTCTAAAAAGGACGTCAAGTGCTGCAAACCGCATCGTCGAGAGATATCGTTGTCGAAAAGTCTCCAAGTGTTTTTTTTTTTTCAAAATAACTCGAAGTTTTTTTATACTTCGAGTTCAAAAGTTATAATAATTCTATTCCGAACCTTTTGCGACGTTTTTGAGCTTGAAGAGCTGAAACGAAGAGTGAAATTTGAAGCGCTTTGCATTTGAAATTGGCGGTAAGTTGCGGGAATAGCATATAGTGTCAAACGTATTTTTTATAGAATAAGAATGGCAAACGAGCGCACAGTCTACCTGATGGCAAAGTGGATGATACGGCCCACAGAGATCTACCCACATCTGTCCTTATGTGTATAGCAGCAGCATTGCTTTACTACGTATACTTTAAATATTTGTTTTTCATTTTATTAGGGGTGGTTCCATAAAAAATTATCATTTTTATATAAAACTAGTGATTCACCCCGGCTTTGTACGGGTAATTTCTGGATCTCGACAACAGCACCACCTAATTAAACCATCTAAGGACGCACTAAAACACATACAAAAATTTTATCAAAATCAGTCAAGCGTTTTTCGAGGCTTAGTGGGACCAATGGATAGCAGTTAACTTTTATATATAGGAAAAAATCAAAATGTTTAAATACACATATCAAAAAAGTTTGTGATCACTAACTGATATATTTTTTAAAATTAACTTTATCAAGAAAAAGTGTTAACGTTATATATTTTTTAAGATAGAAATACGCTGTTTGAAATGAAAAATAAAATTATTTTTTATTTTTAAACACAAAAATTGAGAAATTCAATCCCAATGTAATTGTAACAGAATGTTGATGGAAGGAAAAATAATGTTTAACCAAATTTATAAAACAATTTATCAATAAAAGGTTTTTCGTTGTGTTGTTCTTCACAGTACACATCTGCAGTAATGCTCATCCCGTTTGGTAAGATCCTGTCGAAAGCTGCTGCAAATTCAGCCGTAGATTGTCATCAGCTTCCAGAATCGCCTTCTTTAGGTCGAAATTTACAGAACGGAAGCGGGCAAACCAATAACAGGTGGTACATTCGTTTATGGTATTTTCTACGAGGGCGGCACTGAAAATTTCGGGAATCAAGGAAGTGACATAACATTACTGTTTAAAAATGTATTTATTGCTTTTCGAAGTATTCTCCGCGAAATTTGACACATTTTTCCAAAATGGCCGTTTCAGCTTCTTGAGGTGATGAAAATCTCTGTCCACGCAATTTATTCTTTATTTTAGGGAAAGTATAGAAATCATTAGGGCTTAGGTCGGGGCTGTACGGCGGATGGTGTAATAATTCTATGTTTTCTTGCTCTAAAAACTCTTTTGTTCCGTGTGCGGTGTGAGAACTCGCATTGTCGTGATGGAGGATGATGCGGCGGTTGCAGTTCTCTTTACGGAGTTCAGAAACGAGCTGTGGCAAACAAATGCTTGCATACCATTCTGCATTAACCGTTCTTTGTCCCTCAAGAGGAATAATTGTAACATGGACAATTTTGGAGACAAACGTGGCCACCATTTTTTTTTTGCAACACTCCGTGAACGAACACTTTTTGTTGGCTTAAACTCATTTTCGAACACCCAAACTCGTGACTGATTTTTTGTTTCGAGTTCGTACGCGTATATACAGGATTCGTCACCTGATACGATGTTGTATACAGCATTTGAGGATCCTGCATGGAATCTTTCGAGAGTTCTGATGCACCAAGTAACGCGAGCCGCTTTTTGCTCTTCACAGAGCGAATGGGGTATCCATCGGGAAAACAACTTTTTTACACCTAATTATTCATGCAAGATTATTTGTATTTGACTCATGCCAATATCTAAAGTTGCCTGTATTTCGCGGTATGTCACATGTGGATCTTCCTCAATCAGCTTATGCACAGCATCAACGTTTTCTTGGGTGACTGCAGTTTTTGGACGACCTTGACGGGGATCATCACTGAGCTTGACACGTCCACGTTGAAATTCAGCAAACCAGCGATAAATTGTGGTTTTGGATGGGGCTTTATCACCAAATGCAGAAATCATCCGGTCAATACACTGTTCTTGTGTTAAACCACTTCGAAAGTCATAATAAACCATCGCTCTTGAATTTTCTCAACGACTAAACAAGTTTGACAAAATCTTGTGACAAGACCGAGAATCTTTTTTTAAATAAATAAATGGTATTCGATTTTTTAAAACCAAGGAGTTTTCAATTAAAAAGATTTTAATATGATAGGAACAGTGGAAATATTCCATTCCCGATACTTTTAGTGCAGCCTGTGTACGTAAACGTCGTTGATGTAGCGTGCCGATTATGCCGCGTTGCTGCCACGACGGTACTCATATTTCATAATTACTCGAATTTTTAACGTATCCACGATGACGAAAAAGATTTAATGCGATGAAAACATAACACTAATTAATAATCAAATGACTAATTTCAAAAAGAAAACAATGTTTTTAAAATAAAATTAGTTTGAAATTAGAATTCTTAGCCAAACAAAAATATTTTGATTTGATACACCTTGTTCTTGTGACGTACGCGTTGGCGTAACTAAAAGGTTACAGTGACTATATACTCGTTGGACGTAATCATGAGAAAAGGCAGATGCGGCGTCAATACCACAAAAACACTCACACTATTAGACCGGTAAACTAACAATTTCTAATTTTTATATAAATCGATCGCTTAACTATGGGTTTTTAATTTTTAATTAACAATATGACATCGGTAATCGTGTAGTAGCGCTCTTATAATGGGGTAGTGTCCTATTTTGTTCCGTAAGTGTCGTAAAAAGTAAACCATAAGATGGGCAGTAGCGCCTTCCTAATAAAAAGAGATAATAAGAGAAATAAAAAAAAAACTGCAGTTACCAACCCGCCAAGCTTGGCAACTGTGAGAACTATCATCCTTTAAAGTTACGCGTTACGCTAAGAGAACATAACTAAGTTTATTTTATGCTCACATTGTTTCAGCTTGTAAGTTTAATGAGTTTCTCTCTTGTGCGTCTCAGACGTTATTTGAAACTTTATCTAAGTGACTCAATGCCAGCGTCTTTTTTCGCCTCGTAAATGATTTGTGTCTCTAGATAGGAAACTTTAACGTTCAGAAAAAAGTTAAAAAGCTTTTTTGGTTGCGTAAAAGCTATTTTTAATAAAAAGTTAACAGTTAAAGGCTGTTAGGTTTTTAAACTATTATAAACCAGTGTTGGATTACCACCCCGTGAGTCCCCGTGTGATGGTGAGTGGTGATAGTGATGGTAAAATCCTAGGATGGAAAAACGCACTGTGTTAGAATATCATATACCAACGAAGGTTATGGCAAAATATTCCAATTTTTTTTGTTCGAATGCGTGGTATGTGGTCAAAGTGGAAGGGGCTGGGAAAGCATTTGTTTGGGCTATGGTGGAAGGAAGAGGGAGGAATTAAATCATGCTATTTCGACTCATGCGGTCCAAAATGTATCGTGTACAACACAGGAGTATTTTATAATTTATGGGGAAATATTCATGGGCGACTTTGTTCAGCAGTGTAATTTGATGGGTTGTAATGATGACGATGAGCCGATGATACTAAATTCATTTATCATCCTTATTTCTATGAAAAAGAAATTGTTCAAAATATGATCAGACGTAATTGCATAGCTTGCAGGTGGATTGGCGATTTAAAAGCCAACTTTGACAATGTTTTACGCTGTACAGTTATTTTACATCTGTCATAATACACTTTAATGTCCAACAGAAAACAACCCCACTTTCATTAATTATTTATACGACCTTTTTTAAAATATTAATCCTTTTCTACTTGAGTGGTAAAATTAAAAATTTTGTAAAACTAATTTTGTAATACCACCAAATCAATGTATTCAAAAACTACTTCTCAGATTTCGATTAAATTTATCTTGGACTACACGAGAAGCATCAGCTTTCAGATAAAAAAATCATCAAAATCAGTTTATCTCGAAAAAAGTTTTGAGGTAAAACACATAAAAAAAGAACATATAGTCGAACTGAATACCTCCACCTTTTTGAAGTCGGTAAAAACAACCTTATATTTTTATATCTATTTACGTGGCTCTTGAATTTATACAAAGGTTCGCATATATATTGCATAAATAATAAGTGACGCACAGTCCTCGACTTCTTTTCATCATTTAGGTTCAAAAATAATTAAGATTTAATTTTGCAGTGGGTTGTGGTAAGTATTGTGTAATAATGTTTTATGTCCACGTATATACCATAATTATTATTCAGTGTAAAATAATAAATAAGAAATATCTATTATAACATTCTCGTCAAAGAAATGACGGCGCCATCTTAGATATATATGTAAAATAAATTGTGAAAATAAAACAATCAAAATAAACAATATAAAATATTTTATAAACTATGTACTATATTTGCAAACAATAAGTAAAATGAACAAACAAACAATAATGAAGAATGTTATCTTAATCAATTTAATATGCCTATTTCAAACTGAAAAACATACGTACTTGATAAACATGCAGATTCCAGTCTTCTCCATCGCCCTAGAGATGCCTTTCCACGAAGCCAACATGGAGTATTTCTGCTTGGCTGTGAGAGGCAACCGTGGGTCGGTGGCTGGAGGTGGGCCATCAGTTACTGCTGGAGCAGCACTGTTGCCGCGCCTCTCGGAGGCGGCCAATTTACCCAATTGGCAGCCCATGTTTTTAACACTTCATTATCTTTCGTATTAACAATTAGAAACCCACTAAACTGATTTTTTCACTAAAACTCGTCACACTCACGTACACTTCACGTTCTATTTATTTTACGTTAACTTGTCACTAACTTAAATTTAAGAGTTTTACAAGTTCTTATTATTCATCGGAATTTTCTTTCAATATAGCCCTTACAAAGTGATGTTCTAATAAAGATAAATTTTCATTGCCCTGCACAGTACTATCCATTACTCCCATTAAATTAAATTTCTCATTTCATTCACCGCCCTCAACCGTCTTATAATTTGCAAGAATTGAAATTCCAACATTTTCAAGATGAATCCGACTCTCTGTCATGACTTCGCCGCTTATCAAATCTAATCCAGCTTCGGCATTCTCGGGACGGCTACCTGTAAAATGAGAAAATTGTTATGTTTGAAAAGCGACAACAATTAAGTTTTTTTATGGAATAAGGGTAACAAAAGAGATTAAAATCCACCTGATGTTAGGTGGAAACTGTGGCTCAAAGACATCTAAACCTATCTTCGATTAAGGATCAGAATGCCTGAGGTCTAAGATGGAATACCTCGTTTCCAGTAAAAAAAGGCGTCCGGTTCTCTACACTCACAATACGAAACACAGTAGCATTTAACGCTGCTATTTAACGATGGTGTTCAGTGAGAGCGTGGTCCTTCCCCGGTCTAGAAAATAATTGGTCCTTTCCATTAAATACAATATTGTTATAGCAAACCCCTTTCTGTCAACGTTAGTCGTTTAATTAATTAAAAGGGCGTGGTAAGCCCCCCACCGTTAGAAGACATTAACAAATTGCTTCGAATATAAACTATATCAATCTATGAATAGAATTATAGTTGAAGTCCGTAGTCCTTCTCAAAGCCATTGAAGTATTACATTATTCGTGTATTAGACAAATTATCCAGTCTTTTGGACAAGTTGGAGAGTGTGGATTCGACACTCCCGCTATCGTGATACTGCTGTCTATCACTAGGCACTGACACTTTGGATATATATAAGCCTAAGCCATTTTATTATTTATTTATTTTTTATTTTATTAGCGGTTTTTCCGGACCGATACGACCTGGGGACCTTAAAAGGGCTTACTCCTTTCTAAAGGGCCGGCAACGTACCTGCCATTCCCCTGATGTTGCGGTTGATCGTGGGCGGCGGTGGTCATTTAACATCAGGTGAGCCGCATGCTCGTTTGCCCGCTTTTCTATAAAAAAAGGTAAAGCATTCGAAAGGGGTACAGTGTTCAAATTGTATATATACACATACTCAAATGAGATGTCAAGCTAATTCAAAACTTACACTGGGGCCCGTGCTGAAAGCCCGGCTCGGACACTATTGGTTGCACTTTGGTTTTCTTAAAAAATAGAGAACTAGTACCATTGCTAAAGAAAGCAGTACAGATATTCCTAGAGGTGAGTGTATTGAATTGCACACCTCGAATGGTGATTCAGTGTGGCGTCAGAAAAGACCGTGTTAGACACCGTCAAGCGTCGTAGCGTTATTACAAATTATAATGCCGGAATAACAAATTTTGCTGAAGTTTTTTTTTATATTTTAGTTTTTTATTATTAGTTGATTCGTAGTGTTGCATTTTTGCCAGTGGAGCATTATAAAATAAATTATCGAATTAGTGAGTTTTTTTTAAAACAAATTATGATAATTTGTTTAAAAAAAACTCACAATATGTTGATGCGTTACATTTTGAAGTTTTAGCAGATTTTGATGGTAGCTTAAGCCAGGAGATAGTCAGTGACGATAGTATCTCAAAGCTCTTGAGCACACAACTTGAGATGCACATTACTATCGGAGTACTTAATAATCACACAATGAACTCAAATCACAAAATAGCACCATTTTCACGTGTTAAAATCCACTTCTAATGATTATCTAAACAATAATACGGAAAAATCAATCCCTAGAGATCAAGTTACCGCTAAAACTCACTTTTTAAGCTTTAAACTCTAAGTTCAAAAACACAATTTTTACAAACTAAACAAATATAAAGTTAATATACATAAAATAACTTAAATTTCTTAAAGTTATGTCTGAGCGACTGATATCATTTTCCATTTAAAACCTGCGAGCAAAAATTGCGGTACGTTGGTACCGAACTTTTTAATTTTGGTTAAAGTAAATCTGCAAACAATCTTTTTATGTGAAACTGAAGTGACAAAAGATTTTCACCAGTTAAGTGGCTACTGTAGCCCTTGGACACCTGCAACTAACTTCGAACAAAGAACAGTTGCGTTGTCACCTCCGAGAACTAAGATGGAATTCCTCATAGCCTGTAATTATACTTATATTAGACTCTGTATTTAGCCGCCAAATTTCAAAAACGCACGTCGCGGCAAAACTCCCGATACCATCCACACCATCTGGATGCTTGGCGGTTCACCACTGTACGCTTCACTAGGAGTTTTCTTCCGCGCACGACCTCTCCGTGAAATGGTTCACCACCGGCGATTTTTCCGGACCGACTCGGTTTGGGGACCTTAAAAAAAGGACTTCCTCCTATCTAAAAGACCGGCAACGCACCTGATTCCCTTGATGTTACAGTTGATCATGGGCGGCGGTAGTCACTTAACATCAAGCCGGTGAGCCGCATGCTCGTTTGCCCCCTCTGCTATATCGTATGCTGACCGGAATACAACAGTGGTGGTATTAATTCATTTGTATAAATTGTATTTACATCTCGTAATATAATAAAATAAAGTTTCACACAATTACCCTTTTTCGAGCATGCAGATATTTACCAGTTATATCATGAGAATAACATAAAGTATTCAATTAAATTTCCATCAACATAGTTGAATACATGTAATAATATCAAATATTTCAATAAGGAATTCCTATTTTCGTCAATATAAATTGAAAATACTCGATTTAATACATTCAATATTATCAAAAGCTATGTTCATTTAAATTTTCTCATAAAATATTAAATCAAATGTGTGAGCAAATAAAGATATTACTTAAGTATACCTATATACTCCTTACTAATATATAATATATGATATGCGGTTTGTAAAACCATCAACTAATATCTTTTTTATAGCATTGGGTGACAAACGAGTACACAGTCCACGTGATGCTAAATGAATGCTGTGGCCCATAAACATCCACATTTGTCTTCAACTAAGGATCAAAATGCAAATGCGTTGTTCACCTCTGAGGAGTAAGTTGGAATGCCTCGTTTCCAGTAAAAAGGGTCACCGGTTCTCTACAATCAACATACGAAACACAGCAGTATTATATGCTGCTGTTTTACGCTGGCATTCTGTGAGAGCGTGGTCCTGCCCCGGTCAAGCCGACCCTTCGTGCTACAACTTTAATATAGCTGTAGTGTGGCTCTACCATATAAAAATTGTGATTTATAACTTAAATTCTTCATCTTTGTCATCAAACCAGTAAAAGTCGTTTTATGGACACGTCCATTATAGATAGCATTTTCCCTGATCATCACGCTTGCTAGGCGGATTTACTATCGCATATATTATTTTGCATCATTGACACTTCATCACTGACAGTTGCCGGTCAGAATTTTTACGCCTAGCGTTAACCAGTTGATATACCGCCATCTATCGGAAGCTATGAGAAGTTTTTGTTTTTTCTCATACCGCCACCACACGGCATAAACCTTTAATTAGGGGTTCGTAATTGTATCACATGTTTACATTCTAAAGTAACATGTCTTTTGCGACCAATTATTAAAATACATTAAAATTACATTTACTTCATTTATTTCACCCTTTTCCTATAAAAAAACCTTTGATAGAGTACCCACAAGCCTAGTATGGCAAGCCATGAGAGCCCAAAATGTCCCAGAGTATTAACTAGCAATAGTTCAAGATATGTATAAGAACACCAAAACGCGCGTCAAAAGTCCCGCTGGTTTCAGTAACTCTTTCGACGTAAAAATGGGGGTTCATCAGGGATCAGCCTTGAGCCCGCCGCTATTTAACCTCTGCATGGATGAGATCACACGAGAGATACAAAAACCTATCCCAGAATGTATGCTCTATGCGGACGACATAGTCCTAATGGAGAATAATGCAACAGACCTGCAAGAATCACTCAATCAGTGGGTAACCAAATAGAGCACCACGGACTGCGTATAAGCCGGAATAAAACCGAATATTTTAGAATGCGACTACGGAGGGACGGCAGAAACGAGTTGCGATATTCACATAGACAACCGTGCACTACCCTAAGTGGACAGCTTCAAATACCTAGGTTTTATACTTACACCGGACGCTAACGTTGATAAAGACGTAGATCACTGCATCAATACTTAAATGGAGATCATTGTCGGGAGTACTCCTGTGACCGCAACATGCCCATCAGAGTGAAAGGGAAAGTATACAAAACGGTAATAAGACCTGCCATGACGTACGGAGCTGGACCATAAAAATGGTACACGAACTACAACTGCACGCGAATGAAATGAGAATGCTTAGATGGGCGGGATGTGTGACCTGGCTAGACAGAGTACGAAATGAATACATCAGAGGATCATGTAAGGTAGCACCTATAGCTGAAAAGCTAAAAGAAGAAGCGTTGGTACGGCCATATGCTTGGGCGAAATGATGACCATTCAATACGTATAGTTTTAAATATTCCTGACCGTCCGCGAAGAGGAGGACGACCACGTGCCACTTGGTGGTCAAACATGCAGAAAGAGATTCTGGGGGAAAACCTGAGTACACCGACAACCCAGAGTAGAGCTCTCTGGCGCAATCGTACAAGGAGACTCGACTCCAGCTAAACTGGGAAGAGAGTTGAACAAAGAACAATATATTAAATGTATAATGTTGGCCCTGGCTGAGATTTGAACCCCGGACATAATTCGTAAGTATTTTGACTGCAGATCACGCGTTCTCAAATAATCTACTTACTATACGTGAATGCCGTGGTTATACGCTACGTTGTCGGTAATTGAATTTCATGTCAAAACGTAGCCAATATGAGAGCATCT